GCAGGTGACTGAATCAAAGTTGACTGAGTCCAAAAAGGAGAAAGCTGCTGAGCTGGAGGAGCCTGAGACCACCCCAGTTCAGACACCTGGGAATGTTTCTGGTCACTCAGATCTGGAGGAGAGCTTGGCCCTGGCTCCATGTGCCATGAGCACTCCATTGCACCCTCTCGAGGAACCCACCACCTTCAGCTTGGACAGCCAGGGAATGGCTGTGGAAAACCTGCAGGGAAGCGAGGTGGTGGTGGAGGAGGAGAACGCAGAGAATCCAGAGGGTTCAGCAGCTGAAAGCACCGAGTCCATGGAGGAAATAAAGGAACCTGCTGAGCAGAAGGAGCAAACAGAGCAGGTTCTGCCTGAGAGTGTTCCTGGAGAGCCCAGGGAGAGCTGCCTGGACTCAGGCGACCAGGGGGAAGAACCAGCAGCTGCAGAAAAGGAAGAAATAAATGAAAGTGGACAGCTGGAAGAGGTGCCTGAGGAAGTGAGTGTTGACAGCAAACCTGAGGAAAAAGAGATGGAGGAGCTAGAAGAAAATCAGGAGGATAAAGGAGAAGCTGAGAACTCTGCTGGAGAAACTTGTGTTGTTCCAGATCAAGAGATAAAGGAGGAACTGATGGAAACTGAAATAAAAGTGCCTGAAAACGTGGCCTTGGCAGATATGAGTGTGGATTCCCCTCTGAAGGTGGAAGGGGATCCCTCAGTGCAGGTGGCTGAAAGCCCCACCAGCCTCCAGGCCCGCTGCACGTGGTCCCCCTCAGCCTCCCCCTCCACCAGCATCCTGAAGAGAGGGGTCAAGAGGAGCCAGGAGGATGATTCCCTGTCCCCTGCCAATAAGGTATTCCATGGGAATTGTGCGGTACTCGGTGCAAAACGGGGATGAGGATCTGCAGGCATTCCAGATGTGTTGAATTGCTGGTTTCTATTGTGAATAATCTTAGAGAAAAGGTGAGGTTTAGGTTTGGAACGTGCCAGTGCTGACAGATTTGCTTTGTGAGGGGTTTTGTTTTGAAACAGAGCACCAGAGTCTGTTCTGCTGCCTGCATCACTGCAAAACCAGGAGCAGCATCCTCGGGGTTGTACACAGAGGTTCTTTTGGGAATCCTCAGAGTCTGGCCTTGGCTGAAACATTTCCTTTGGCGTTCCAGAGCTTCAGTGATTCCAAACTGAATTTTTCTGTCTCCTCAGATTGACTCCACTGAGCTGTGCTGGGTTGAGTTCCCACTCTAAAACCTCCTTCTCTCCTCCTCAGATCCGTCGAGTCTCTTTTGCAAATCCCATTTTTCAGGAGGGCCTGGCAGATGACATCGACAGGAGGAGTCCTGTCTTCAGATCCCACTCCTCACCCTCTTCCAGAAGTCTTAAAATCCTCTCCAACATGCAGGTCAGGGTAAATCCTGTTACAGCATCCTGTGTGCCCCGAGTGTTTGTGTATTTATCGTAAATAGCAGGGCTTTGGTGCATGTTTGTAGTCACTTACACACAGCTGTAAGAGCTGAGGATCAGAAGTGTAAGAAACAAAACTGCTTTAGCCTGACTCATTCTGTTACTGTGAGCTCCAGTGAACTCTGAGGTTTCAGGGGCTAAAATCTCAACTGTTTACTGAATTCCTACTGTTAACTGAATTCCTACCTCCCTGAGATATTTTTTTCCTCTTTTTCTATCCAGCACATTACCACTCCAACCAAAGGATTTCTGTCCCCAGGATCTCGTACCCTTAAATTTAAGAGCTCAAAGAAGTGTTTAGTAAGAAGTGCTTTAGTTCATGTTTCTCTTCTATTTTTTTTTCCCTGTATTCAGTGTGTGACAGTTAATTTAACACTTTCCTTGTGTTATCCCAGATCTCAGAAATGGCCAAGGAATCCCTGCCGTGCCTTACGGAATTTGTGTATCCTGCCTTGGCTGGCTGCAAAGCCCCTGTGGATGTCATTTTACCTCAGATCACATCCAACATCTGGTGAGTGGCTTCTTTTGAAGGTTACATTTCAGTAGAAACTGACTTCTTCCTGAACCTACAAAACCAGAATTTTAGCCAGAATTCTCTAAAAGGATTGGGGTTGGTTGGGTGAGGGAAAGACTTCACAGTTTTGGAATTCTTCAGGCACTTTTTTGATGACTGAAAAGCTCCCCAGGGATGGGGAGCAGGGCCAGGAGTTGGGTTGATGATGCTGTGGGTCCCTTCCAGCTCGGGATATTCCCTGATTCTGTTCCAGTGACCCATTTTCCCTCCCCTGCTGCAGTGCCCGGGGCCTGGGGCAGCTCATCCGAGCCAAGAACATCAAGACCGTGGGGGACCTGAGCACTCTGACAGCTCTGGAAATCAAAACTCTGCCCATCCGCTCCCCCAAAGTCTCCAATGTCAAAAGAGCTCTGAAAGGATACCATGAGCAACAGGTAAAGTTGAATTTTAGCACCCAGGAAGCCAATATTGATCTAATTAGCTGCAGGAGGAATGATGTATTTCCTCCTTCATTAAAAAATGCACTTTAAAACCTAATCCCTGCCTGCCCAGCATGAATCCAGCATGAATCCTAATCCCTGAACCCAGCCCTGCATGGACTCAAGATACAGATAACTTGGTTAAATTATTATTATTATTATTATTATTA